GTCGTGGTTGTCAAGGACATCGAGGTCTTTCTTGTATAGTTCTTCTGTGTATTCTTGCCACCTCTTCCTAATCTCCTCTGCTTCTGTTAGGTCCCTACTGTTTTTGTCCTTTATCATGGCCAGCTTTGCACGCAACGTTCCCTTGATTACTCCAATTTTCTTGAAGAGATCTCTAGTCCTTCCCATTCTATTGTTTTCTTCTATTACTTTGCACTGTTCATTCAGGAAGGCCTCCTTATCTCTCCTTGCTGTTCTCTGGAAATCTGCATTCAGTTGGGTAAATCTTTCCTTTTCGCCTTTGCCTTTCGCTTTCCTTCTTTCCTCTGCTATTTGTAAAGCCTCATCAGACAGCCACTTTGCTTTCTTGCACTTCTTTTTCTTTGGGATGGTGGTGATTGCTGCCTCCTGTACAATGTCACAAACCATAATTCTTCAGGCACTCTGTCTATCAAATCTAGTCCTTTAAACCTATTCTTCACCACCACGGTATATTCATCAGGGATGGGATCTAGATCAAATCTGAATGGCCTAGTGGTTTTCTCAACTTTCTTCGGTTTAATCCTCAATTTTGCAATGAGTAGCTCATGATATGAGCCACAGTCAGTTCCAGGTCTTGTTTTTACTGACTGTATAGAGTCTCTCCATCTTTGACAGCAAATGATATAATCAATCTGATTTTTGTGTTGCCCATCAGGTGATGTCCATGTGTAGAGTCGCCTCTTGGGTTGTTGGAAAAGGGTGTTCACTATGACCAGCATGTTCTCTTGACAAAAATCTGTTAGCCTTTGCCTGGCTTCGTTTTGTTCTCCAAGGCCAAACGTGTCCGTTATCCCAGTTACCTTTTGACTTCCTACTTCAGCATTCCAGTCCCCTATGATGATGAGGACATCTTTTTTTGGTGTTAGTTCTATGAGGTGTTGTAGGTCTTCATAGAACTGGTCCACTTCAGCCTCTTCTGCGTCAGTGGTTGGGGCATAGACTTGGATTACTGTGATGTTGAATGGTTTGCCTTGGATTCGGACCAAGATCATTCTGTCGTTTTTGAGATTGTATCCCATTACTCCCTTTCTCACTCTCTTGTTGACTATAAAGACCACACCATTTTTTCTATGGGATTCTTGGCCACAGTAGTAGATATAATTGTCTTCTGAGTTAAATTCGCCCATTCCCGTCCACTTTAGTTCACTGATTCCCAAGATGTCGATGTTCAGTCTTGCCATCTCATTTTTGACCACATCCAACTTACCTTGATTCATAGATCTTACATTCCAGGTTCTTGTGCAATATTGTTCTTTGCAGCATCGGACTTTCTTTTCACCATCAGACACATTCAGAGCTGAGTGTCCTTTCGGCTTTGGCCCAGCTGCTTCATTTTTTTCTGGGGTTACTTGTACTTGCCCGCTGCTCTTCCCCAGTAGCATATTAGACACCTTCCAACCTGAGGGGGCTCATCTTCTGGTGTCATATCTTTTAGCCTTTTGTTACTGTCCATGGGTTTTCTTGGCAAAGATACTGGAGTGGGTTGCTATTTCCTTCTCCAGTGGATCGTGTTTTGTCCAAGTTCTCCGCTGTGGTCTCTACATCCTGGGTGGCCCTCCACGGCATAGCCTGCAGCCTCTTCGAACCATGCAAGCCCCTTTGCCATGTCATGGCAGTGATCCATGGGAGAGTTGTGGCTATAAAGCACTAAATGCTTGGACCCAACTGATTTTGCAACCTGGCAGGTGGCCATGGGATCCTTTTGCTATCCTACCCTATCCATTTTTAAGGAAGCAGAAGGGCCTTACAGAAGACCTTACAGAAACTGTGAAAGTGTTAGTTCTGATTTAAAGATTAAGTGTGTTTCACAGAAATAGGGTTGAGTGGGTGGGGGTTCTGGGTTTTGGTCTCAGTTCAGATTCTAGCTCAGTGGGCAGCCATAGAAAAGTTGTTGTGTCTTGGTTGCCTCAGTCTCTGTTAATAATATTCCCTTGCATGGGTGCTGTGAGACATCACACAACATAAGTATTTGCAGGACTATATTAAGAAGGCAAGATAAGTGATATTTTAATTTTAATTTTTTTTATCTCCCCCTTCTTGTTGGCAACTCAGAGTGAAGTACATGGACAGAGCAGTGATACCTTGTTGTATTTGTGTAAAACGTAAAAATATGTTAAGTGGGAGCCATGTTGCAGGTTGGGATATAAAGTGGGTCTCAGGTCTAAACACATGGAAGACCTTGGGCACAAACTAGCTACCAGAGTATATGAATGCCTTAAATGATGGGAAGGCTCTTTAGGATATAGCTGTGCACTGGAGGTTTCGCCAACAATGAACTTGTAACTGATAAGGATAAATATATTGTTCATTGAAATATTTTAATAATTAAAAGAGACACTATTTTATGGCTTCCACTGGTAATATATTCAAGATATGTCTTCAATAATTCTGTCTTGGTTTTGTTTTCGCTAAAGATCCTTTCGGTGGTGATCCTTTTAAAGGTTCAGATCCTTTTGCCGCAGACTGCTTTTTCAAGCAGTCGTCCACAGATCCTTTTGGAAGCATCGATCCTTTCAGTGCAACCAGCAACAACAATAATTCCACAGTAAGTCTAAGAAAAGGGAATCTGTCATTTTTAGTTTTGTGTATGTGACGCTTTAATATGAAGCACCCCTTAAAATTACTCTAGTGAACTCAGCTTAGTCTTCCTGTGTCTTCCAGCATGTCTGTTAAAGATAATAAGCATTTGGTCACTGATCTCTGTTGCAGGTGCACTGTCATTTCTGAGAGCCAGTTTGGTGTAGTGGTTAAGTGTGCGGACTCTAATCTGGGAGAACCGGGTTTGATTCCCCACTCCTCCACTTGCACCTGCTGATGTGACCTTGGGTCAGTCACAAGCTCTGGCACAGCTGCCCTTGAAAAAGAGCAGTTTGTGTCAGAGTTCTCTCAGCCCCACCCACCTCACAGGGTGTCTGTTATGGGGAGGGGAAAGGGAAAGGAGTTTGTAAGCCGCTCTGAGACTCCAAGTGAAGGGCGGGGTATAAATCCAATCTCTTCTCTTCTTTTTCTTCTTCTTCTTCTTATAAGTCCTAAAGGTCAAGTGGGATGCAACACCTAGAAAATCTTGCTTCCTTGATCTTTGTGGTATAGTTAGAAATGCTAGACCGAGCGTCCCCAACATGGACTTAAAAACAACTGGCAGGAGCCAGGGAAGGTATCAACAGGCATCATGGCACCCATGGGCACCACGTTGGAGACCCCATGCCAGACCATGTAGCACATTGTGAAATGGTAGACAGAGGAGTAGATCAGTGTTGCTGTTCCAAATTGCTCCCATTTTTTTAAAATGTATTTTACTTAATAGTGATAACAATGTATTCAGCACCTATTTTTTCAGAAATCCAAAAAAATTTAATAGACTGTTGGTGTTTTAATAGCACCTGTAAATTGCGTGTCATGTTCCTTTGCTTAGGCAGAAATTCTCTGAGGTTTTAATATCTTACAACCCTGAAAATTAAATACTGTGTGTTGGCTGTATTTAACAAACCAAGGCCCCGGTCACATGGGCCGGATATCGTGGGGGGGAGGCATGGCTAATTGCCCCGGCGCAGTTTGATCCGAGATTACGCGATCAGACGCGCTGGCGGCACACCACAGGTCCTTCCCTCGGTGCCGGCAGGTAAACGAGGGACCGGAGGGGAATGCCACGCGCCGGCGCGATCACACCACGGGCGTCTGGAGGCAGTCCGTGGCAAACGTTTACTAGTACCTTGGAGGTACTAGTTTTTTAATGCACATCGTCAGCGGGAAGTCATGGGTTAGCCACGGGAGCACTACGCTTCCCAGATGTTGCGGTGTGATCGCGCCCGGAAAATCCACCTATCATCCGTCTCTAGTGCGGCAAATGCTCCGTGTGAACAGGGCCCAAGGTTGTTTTGGCTCCACAGATTTAAAAATGACTTATTGAAGAATAAAGTACTGAATGGCTGTAAGGAAGTAAGGCAACAGCTGAGTTATTCAGGTTTCACATTAAAAGGTGGTCAGTTTCTTTCGAAATGCCTTTCTGTGCATTAAAAGTAGCTGTAAGATTTATGTAACAGGGAGTCATACCAACCATTTCTATATTTTCCCACATATACTGATTAAAGACCTTACAGAACAGAGAAAGTGTTAGTTCTGAATTAAAGATTAAGTATGTTAAGAATGTTAAGAATTCTTACAGTTTGCAGAACCTTACCTTAGTTTTATTTTTGTATTTTAGATCGAAACACTGGCACACAATGACCCATTTGCTCCTGGTGGAACTGCTGTGACGGTTCCAAGTGATACAGGTAAAGAAATTACTTTCATATAGGTGCATATCTGTTCAAGTTTGTAAAAACTTAACAAGCTTAGTCACATTAATCTTTGTCATCCAGTGATGAGTGAGTAATATGTTATGATTGGTATTCAACTTGTTTCCAAGTACACTCTGAACATTTTGTTAGAACTGGCACGATTGTAATGCTACCTGTTGCTTAACTGCCTGTAGTTGTTAATGGATTGGAAGTGGTTCACAGGAACTCACACTCTGTCCTCCCTCATGCATGAATTTTCCTGACCATATCCTGCCAGCCTGAATTATAGACAATTGTTGTGTTTGTGTGAAAGGTAACTGTGATTCATATAATCAGGCTTGCTTCTAACCCATGATTTGAAGCCAAAATCAACCTCTGATTTCAGATATCAGTTATAAGCTAACAGTGGCTAGTGTCACTGCAGGCATAGTGAATAAAGAGTGGAAGAATTCATGCAACAGATGGAAGTCAGGGGAGTAAACCAGTTTTGTGCAGTGGCTAAGAGTGCAGACACTAATCTGGGAGAACCAGGTTTGATTCCCCACTCCTCCACATGCAGCTCCTAGTCTCTCCTCCAGTTCCTCCAGCAGCCTCTGGGTTCCTGGGGTGAACTTGAGAGCACAAAGACTCTCTTCCCCAAGCTCAGTCCAAAAGACAGCCCATTTGACTCCTGCTGCTGCTGCTGCTGCTGCTGCTGCTGAGTCAGAAAGTTAGAGGAGGGACAGCAGCTGTCCAGTGCCGGCACCCACCTCATGCACTTCTGCTGGGAACTCTGCAGTGGCAGCCTCAGTGGAGAGGGACTTGCAAGGCCTCTTCATTGTACCACCCCAGCCAGAAGAAGGGGTAGTGGAAGGATGTGAAACAGGCCTCCCCACAAGTGGAAGGAAAGTCGCAGTCCTCCACCCGACTACACTTCTGCCTAACCTTTCACCCAGGGCCCCACTGCACTCCCCACCTACTGTTCACATTCATTCCTCCAGGAAAATAAGTTGACTGTGCTCTGAGTCAGAACTCTTACAACCTGCTGCCCTTGACTTTTTCTGTCTACCTGTGTTCCTGAGCACTAACCTGCCTTCCCCCCAAAAAAAACCCACACACAATGTAACTTTCTTTCTTTCTTTCTTTATTTATTTTGTGTGTGTGGGTGTCTATATGCTTGCGAGCCTTGAAGTCATGGTGACTTCTGGCAACCCCTAGTGGGTCTCGGATGTTTCAGAGAGGTGGCTTGATATTACCTGCCTCTGCATCCCGAGCCCTGGTATTCCTTGGAAGTCGCCCTTCCAAGTACTGGCCAGGGTCAGCCCTGCTTAGCTTCCGAGATCTGATAAGATTGGACTTGCCTGGGCTATCCAGGTCAGGGCACCACGTAATGTAACTTTTTTTTGTAAAACTACACCTAGGCTTGCTTCAATTTAATTCTTTTTTTTAAAAAACGGCTTCTGAACTTTTAGCCTAAAAACTAATTGTTTAAAAACTACAACTTGAGATAACAGTATGAAACTATTTTTCAAAAATTAAGCTAATCCCTACTCTTTCTGAAAACCTGACTTCAGTTTTTCCCTAAGACTAAAGGGTCAGCCTGACCCTAATTTTAACCACCTGGCTTCAATTGTTTTGAAGGCCAGGTCAGCCTAATTTTTTAAAAAGTAAACCCTGTGCTCAAATTAATTCTGGCTTATGTTTTGGAAGCCTAACCATCCACCTCTGAACATCTCTTGCCTTCAAAACCCGGGGGGGGGGGGGTCACCATAAGCCTGCTGTGACTTGACAGCCCCCCCCCAAAGCCATTCTTTTTAAAGAAAACCCTAAGCCAAAATTACTTTTGGTTTTTTAAAAATATCTAAACCCTCACCTACAGTTAACTTTTATTAAAACCTAACAATATTTTAAGAACCTAAGAATTATAATTTTGCAAACTAACAGGAACGCTCCAAAATTCCATGACACTACTCCCTGCAAAACAACAACACCACAACACAGAAGAACTTTACAACTAGCAGAACAGCTATAAAACCAGAAACAGGAGAATTAAAAAAAACCACTTTAAAAATAGAGTTTGGAAAATCCTCCCCAAGAACAAACCTTTTCAAAATTAAAATGCAATTAAATTCTAAAACAAGCTGAACCCAACTGCACAAGCCTTTTAAATCCTTTTGAAAACAGTACAATAAAAAGGGAACCTGCTTTGAAAGAATCAGGGTGGGGGGGAGGCTCCCACTACAATCTCCCCCATATAAAAAAACATACCCAGAAAAACTTGAAATAATATTTTGAACAAATTCCACCAGTCTCAAAGATTGCCCAGCTAGCAGGCAGAGGACAAGAGGGTCTTCTGAGGCAAGCAGCGGGCAAATTCAAAGCAGACCAGAGCAGAGCAGCAGCAAGCAGGAGCAATGAGAAACCTAAAGAACACACACAAAAACCCTAACTCTGAAATGGAGTTAAGGTGTAGACAGGCCTGCTTTTTATCTTCTTTTGCCCATGCTCAGACAGCTGTAGAAGGTGAGACTCATTGTGATTGGGCAGACATTTACTTCAAGTGTTCCCTCTGATCCTATTGCTTGACATAGTTGCCTTCCTCCCCTTCTGTTCCCTTCCAATGCCAGAGACCCCTGAGAAATTGAAAAAAACCCCAAGCCTGGGAGCCTTAAAATGGAGGCCCCACATATTCCCAAATATTTTGGGAATTTTTCAAGAATTGATGTCCAGCATCAATACTGATAAGGCATTTGGGGGGTATTTTTTTGACACAGAAATATCTGAAGGCACATCCATAGGTGAGATTGTTGAGCAAACAAATATATCTAAACCATAATTGTATGTTTAAAACCAAACCATGTTGGCTTGAGGTTTCAAATTATGGCTAATGTGAAGTGTGGTTTTGGTGTGATGATTTAGAGTATTTATAGGCCAACTTTCCACCCCTGTGGGTCCTCAGGATGATTAACATGTGAAGCTTCCTTACACAGAGTCAGACCATTGGTCTGTCAGGTTCAGTATTATTCACTCTGCCTGGCAGCAGCTCAACAGGGCCTCAGCTAGAGGTGTTTCACATCACCTACTACCATATCCTTTTATCTGGAGATGCTAGGGATTGAACCTAGGACCTTTTTCTGCAAAGCAAATTTTCTACCATTGATCCATAGTCCCACCGCAAAGAAGTTAAAATATAAAACTATTAAATCATCTGAAATAAATCATGAACAAAATATTGTTTCAATCCAGTTTGGAGAGCAAAGTGTTTAGACTGGTCTAGAAGACCTTCAAGGACAATGCCATTCTCACCTCTGGGAGTAGAATTCCACAACTTGAGTGGGGAGCAGTGAACATAAGAGAAGCCAGTGTTGTGTCAGGCCAGTGGCCCATCCAGTCCACACTCTGTCACACAGTGGCCAAAAATACCAGGTGCCATCAGGAGGTCCATCAGTGGGGCCAGGACACTAGAAGCTCTCCCACTGTTGCCCTCCCCCCCCCCAAAGCACCAAGAAGACAGAGCATCACTTGCCCCAGAGTTCCTATCTATACCTTGTGGCTAATAGCCACTGATGGATCTCTGCTCCATATGTTTATCTAATTCCCTGTTGAAGCCGTCCATGCTTGTAGCTGCCACCACCTCCTGTGGCAGTGAATTCCATGTGTTAATCATTCTTTGGGTGAAGAAGTGCTTCCTTTTATCTATTCTAACCCGACTGCTCAGCAATTTCATTGAGTGCCCACGAGTTCTTGTATTGTGAGAAAGGGAGACCTGCTCTATCTCATGCATAATTGTGTAAACCTCAATCATGTCACCCCTCAGTCATCGTTTCTCCAAGCTAAAAAGCCCCAAGTGCTTTAACCTTTCTTCATAGGGAAAGTTGCCCTTTTCTGCACTTTTTCCAGTGCTATAATATCCTTTTTGAGGTGTGGTGACCAGAACTGTACACAGTATTCCAAATGAGGTCGCACCATTGATTTATACAGGGGCATTATGATACTGGCTGATTTGTTTTCAATTCCTTATAATCCCCAACATAGCATTGGCCTTTTTTATTGCAGTTGCACACTGTCTCGACATTTTCAGTGAGTTACCTACTACGACTCCAAGATCTCTCTCTTGGTCAGTCTCTGCCAGTTCAGACCCCTCTAAGCTGAGTTAGTGTGAGCTAGCTCACAGTTTTTTAGCCTCTAGCTCACACATTTTTGTCTTAGCTCAGGAAGGATGACTCCAGAGTAAATTAATTTATGCAGTAGCCAAATCAGTTGCTCACAAAGTAGAATTTTTGCTCATAAGACTTCCAGCCTCCACTTGAAAATGTCCAACGAAGGAGCATCCACCACCTCCCGAGGCAGTCTGTTCCACTGCTCAACCACTCTTACAGTTAGGAAGTTTCTCCTGACATTTAGCTGGTATCGACTCCCTTGTAATTTTCACCCATTAGATATAGTCTTGCAATACGGAGCAAGAGAGAATAGATCTGCTCCATCTTCTACATGACAGCCCTTCAAATACTTGAAGACTGCAATCATGTCCCCTCTAAGCCTTCTCTTTCCCAGGCTAACCATACCCAACTCTTTCAGCCTTTCCTCATAAGACTTGGATTCCAACCCCCTCACCATCCTGGTTGCCCTCTTCTGTACACAGTCGAGCTTGTCAACATCCTTCCTAAAATGTGGTGCCCAAAACTGGACACAGTACTCCAGGTGAGGCCTGACCATAGCAGAATAGAGCGGAACTACCACCTCCCGTGATCTGGACACAATGCTTCTGTTAATGCATCCTAAGATTGCATTAGCTTTCTTCACAGTCACATCGCACTGCAGGCTCATGTTTAGCTTGTGATCAACCAGAACACCTAAATCCCTTTCACATGAGCTTCTGTCAAGCCAAGTCCCTCCCATTCTATATCTGTGCCTCTGATTTTTTGTACCTAAGTGTAAGACTTTAGTTTGCACTTATCTCTATTGAAATTCATTTTATTTGCCTCAGCCCACTGTTCCAGCCTATCTAGATCATTTTGAATCCCGACTCTGTCTTCTTCAGAATTAGCAATTCCACCCAGCTTCGTGTCATCTGCAAATTTGATAAGCATCCCCTCTATGTCTTCCTCCAGGTCATTTTACTAGATTTTACTAGATTTGTTTAACATGTCATCCAGAGTCCTGCAAAATCTTGCTACCTGTTTTGTAACAGTTTGGTTAGGGTACTATCCTACTGATGTTTTGATTTTTTTTTAATTCTAATGGACTGGTGCATTCTTAGTTAAAACCATGTTATCAAAGAAGCCCTAAACAAATGTTGGCCATGCCTTGCATACAAGATAATAATTTATTTCACTGTTAAAAAATAGGCTCCCTATATTTGACTCCTGCCTTTCGTGTTGCTTTGTTCTTCAGTAGATTTAACGTCTATTTTTTCTCTCTTCTGTTCTTTGCTTAATTTAGCTACAGATCTCTTTGCCTCTCTGTTTGGAAATGAATCATTTTCAAGTGGCTTTGCTGATTTCAGCACATTGTCAAAGGTAATCTGAAATAATTAATGCTCACTGAAAAGGCATAAAATTGCTGCAATAAATGAAACATGGGAGACTCCAGACTACTCAGTGATCCCTCTAAGCTGAGTTAGTGTGAGCTCGCTCACAGTTTTTTAGCCTCCGGCTCATACATTTTTGCCTTGGCTCAGGAAGGATGGCTCCAGAGCAAACTGATTTATGCAGTAGCCAAATCGCTCGCTCACAACTTGAATGCCAGTAGCTCACAAAGTAGAATTTTTGCTCACAAGACTCCACAGCTTAGAAGGAGCATTGACTGGCACATGAAATAAAACATCAACAATTGTTCAATATAAATCAACAGGTCAATGGCTACTTGGATTAATTCTCCATTTTGAGCAGCTATGTGTCTCATTAGGTGTGAAGGCTTACTTTGTGAACTGTTGTGAAAGCAATACAATTAATGGCAAGCTACATGTATTGTGATTTCAAATACCTGCCCAGTCTTACTGACTCCCACTCTCCCTTCTGTTTCTATTCAGAAACTGATCTATCATCTGTATAGTGGATTTGTATTTGAAGCTATTAACGTTTATGTACTTTTGCAGAGGGAGGGAGCTTAGTTTGTTTCCCAGCCTTGGATTAGATGAATAGATTTTGTAACAAATGAGGTTGGTGATGGCACTTGAAATAAGGAAAGTACAGCCCACAGGGGTGACGTCATTGGTGAGGTGCAGTTTCCACAACATCATGGAAACTAACACACACAAATAGTTTCCTAAAAGGCTGTGTTTTCCAGTGGCAGTTGTGCTACTGCAGAGTGCATTTATAACACTATCCTACTAGCTGCTGCAGTACCAGATGAGTGAAGTGACATCCATGTGCTTGTGGCAGTTTTCACAGTTAGTGCAGTTTTATAAGCAATAATGTTAACAACATAATATCACAAATGAACATAGAAATAAAGCTGCCTTATACTGAATCAGACCGTTGGTCCATCTAGGTCAGTATTGTCTACTCGGACTGGCAGTGGCTTTCTGGTGTCTATGGTAGAGGTCTTTCACATCACCTACTGCCTGGTCTTTTTAACTGGAGATGCTGGGCATTGAACCTGGGACCTTCTGCATGCAAAGCAGGGGCTCTTCCACTGAGCCACCCTCCCCCTAGTTTTGTGAAATCATATATCTAATTTCCAAGATGGCTATTCCACACGGATCAAGAAACCCACACAATGGGGCTCCCCAAGGATAGGGGAGGGAAGCATGCAACAGAGTGGGTAGGGGAAGGGCAGAGCAAGAAGGTGAGGAATCATGGGGGATTTTCCCTAGCACTCCTCATGGGATCCCCTTGTGTGTACTTATATTTGCTTGAGTTGTGTAGTGTTCCGATTTATTTATTGCATTATGAAGGAAAAGAAAATGGTAGTGACTTATAGCTGGGATAGTGCTGTGTCAAAATGAATGATGCAAACAGTAATAACTTTTATCTGTTTTGTATTAAGGCAAACAATGAGGATCCTTTTAGTTCATCTGCAACAGGCTCTATGCACAGTGTGATCATAACTAAAAATGTATTTGAGGAACCTCCAGCCAAAAATGAAGATGTTCCTCCTGCATTACCTCCTAAAACTGGAACACCTACCAGACCTTGTCCTCCTCCACCTGGTAAGAGCCAGTATTGTCTTTAAAAGATGCAATTATGACTGTACAAACCAAATATTTGGTTCATGTTTTATATTAAAATATCCTGTCGTTTAGAAACAGACTACCGTATTTTTCAGACCATAAGACGCACCTGACCTTAAGACGCACCTAGTTTTTAAAGGAGGAAAACAGGGGAAAAAATATTCTGAACCTTCGGTCCATAAGACGCACCCACTTTTCCTCCCACTTTTTTTGGAAGAAAAAGTGAGTCTTATGGTCCAAAAAATACGGTAATTACCATACAGGCTGCTTCTGCTAGAGATTTAAATTCTTCCTTCTAATTAGGTCAGGGATTTTTAAATATGCCTGAAGCCGCAGATTGGAAAAGAGGTAATGGTTTTAAATTACCATAACAGTGCAGTTTTAAAAGGGGGTTCCTGTGAAACAAACTAGGGCTGCGGTCACACGGAGCATTAGCCACGCTACAGAGACGGAAGATAGGCAGATTTTCCAGGCGCGATCACACCACAACATCTGGGAAGCGTAGAGCTCCCGTGGCGAACCCAAGGCTTCCTGCCAAAGATGCGGAGTTAAAAACTAGTACCTCCGAGGTACTAGTTTCCGGAAACCGCGGGGCAAGGGCGGGCGTCTGATCACGTTTCCGGTGGCGGCATTCGGCGCCCGCCCATGTCCCTTCGCAAACAAATCTCCACAAGATGCGCACAAGCACCCAACGGCGCATGCGCACAAAGAGGAAAGCAAAAGTGCCGTTTTGGCTAAAAAAATAAATGACCCCGTTTGTCACGGCAGCGGCGCCTAGCCATTGCTGGTGTGATTGCGCTGTGCCTCTTCTTTGCCGTGCTGCAGGATCATCGTGTGATTGCCAACCTCATTTACCTGCCGGCGCGGAGGGACGGACCCGTAGTTATGCCGCCAGCGCATCTGATCGCGGATCAAACTGCACCGGGGCAATTAGCCACACCTCCCCCCTGCAATATCCGGCCCGTGTGACCGGGGCCTTGATTTCACAGAGCAGTTTTTAAGATGATTTAAAGGAAACACTGTGATCTAAATGAAAGGGCTAGTTCTTAACAACACGGATTCCCTCTTATATAGAAATATTAGCAAACAGACACCACCATTAAACATTTAAAACCAGATTAATTTAAAACTACCTGTACTGAATGTTTTGGGTTCAGCAATAGGATGGTGGGCTCTAAATACTATTACTCTTTCTGACTTATGTAGGAAAAAGACCTATCAACAAAGTGGAGCCTTCAGATTCCTTAAAACTAAACGACCCCTTCTTCCCAGGCTGTGATGGTTCCAAAGAACAGGAAGCTGATCTCTTCCATGACCCATTTGCTCCCACTGGGGTTTGCAAAGAGAAAGACGACAGCAGCTTTGCTAGTTTCAATGCTGTAAGTACATGGGCTGGGGAGGAATTGAATTGTCTTTAACAAAGATGTTGTAAGCTACTGTGATGATTACTGTATACTTCTCAGGTTTAAATGATATAATATACATTTCATACAGTGGTGAAGCACATTGTCATATTATGCCTTTGAACCAAATACAGTCAGAGAATAAAGTTTGAGTCCAGTGGCACCTTTAAGATCAACAAAGTTTTATTCTCGGTATAAGCTTTTGTGTGCAGAGAATGTTAATTGCAACGTTGATACCTTCTCATGTTGTGTCTAAGGGTTTAATGTCTGTCATATTGCAACACCACCTTTACTCCATTGTGTTAAAGTCTCATTTAGGTAATTTAACAATAAATAGCAGAGTCCTTATGTTGTAGCTACTGTTGAATAATTTAATTTCATGCTGTATGCATAAATATAAATTGATAATTATGGCAGGAAAGTGTTGGCAGTTGCCCTTAAGGGATGTCTTGCCAGCTGAGTCTGTGGCCATTTCAGATTTCAGGGCCTATTGGACATGGTGGGGAATGCGGGCTGTTGGAGGTAAACTTGGGTGACTGATTCAAGGCAATAAATAAGTCCTGTTGTAGTTCCTTGGAAAGGGGAAGAGGGTAATGAGGGTCTAAATGTCTCATAGCATGCATGCACCCCATCCCTATGAATAGGCATAATTAATTTTTGAAAGGGTTAGGAATTTTGTGTCAAGTGTCACAAAATTGCGATTATGAAGCCAAAAAATCTTTCATAATATTTGACAGCAAACCCAGAGATTTGAGCATGGTTGCCTACATGACCATTTATGCTTAAAGAGAGACCGGTGTGGAAGAGTGGTTAGGGTGGAAAATCTAGAATCTGGAAAACCCAGGTTCCAATCCCAATTCAGCCATGAAATTCACTGGCTGATCTTCGGTAGTTATTCTGTTTCTCAGTTTAACCTACCTCACAGGATTGTTGTGAGTATAAAATGGAGAAGGGGAAAAGATGTTCACTCCTTGAATTCCTTTGAGGAAAGGTGGGATAAAAATGAATTAAATTTAAAAAACATGTGCTATACCTATATCTGGCTTTGGTAAATTGAATAATAGTTAAATCATGCTGTCCTGTGAATCAGTAAACTGGACTTTGAAAATTCAATTGCCTGATAATCACTTAAACATGTTCTTAGAAGACCTGGGGTAAAAATGTAGGGAGAAGAACAGAAATTTCCCCCCCATTATACAGGGTTTTTTTAAATTGAATTTCCTTAAATTAAAATTTAGTGGCCTTTGGGTAGTTCTCGGTGACTTTGTGAGGGTTTTAAAGACAATTCTTTTTTTATAATATATAATTCTTCTCAGTAACTTAAGTAAATCAGTATAGCTAGGCCAAATATCCTCTGGCTAAGCGCTTACAATGAACATGCTTTCCCCCTCTTGGTTAGTGCAGAAAATTGCCTTGTCTTCCTCTTTGATCAGAAAAACAAACAAACAGTTCTCCAACACAAACAAAACACCCTGTGCAAATGTAAATGAGGCTAACAATAATTGCAACCAACTCACTTATAATCAGGGGTCATTTCGTAAAAAAAGAGGTGCAGGAGCTCATTAGCATAACTTATTTGCATATGCCACACACCCTGACATCACCGGAAGTGTGTCGGAAGGTAACACTGGACTGTTGGATTGCTAGCTATTGGGGGGGGGGGGCGTGCAGGTGGGGGGACGTGCAGATCTGTCCTCGCAGAGGAGGGAGAGCTTGTACCTGAATAGAACTTGGTCTTAAAGGTACCACTGGACTGTTTTGGGTCGGGGGGGAGCTCTGCAACTTACCTGGCTGCTTCTTGCTCTGACTAAGGGCTGCTTGTTGCATGTGCCCACCCCCTGGGCTCTTTACTGCCGGAGCTCCACTCCTGTGCGCTCCTGCAGGAAATGACCCCTGCTTATAATAATAAATTGAAGACCAAATTCAGTCTCATATCAGCTACTCCATTTAATAAATCTGCTTCCCTTTTGTAGTATCCTACTGAAGAAGACATGATTGAATGGGCAAAAAGAGAAAGTGAGAGAGAGGAAAAAGAACGACTTGCAAGATTAAAACAGCAAGAACAAGAAGATTTGGAACTAGCTATTGCACTCAGTAAATCTGAAATATCAGAAGCATGAGTTTGTCTTGCCTCAACCACTTTGTCCCTGTCCCTGAATAGCTAAGCTATTTGTAATTAGGCGTTATATATAAACAGGAAGTACCAGGCTTTAAATTCCTGCAAATGTGATTTTGCTGTCTTATTTGTAATTTTTCATATTCACGAATTCATCTGACAACTCCTAATACAGCACACTTACATCTGTATCTTGGAATCCTTCTGTAGAAACCATTAAACCAAAGCAACTTTCTATAATGCAAAAAGGTATTCTCTTTTAAAACAAAAATATCAGTGAGGCACAAGAATCCATTTATGAATCATATCAATGCTCAAAGAAAAAGCAATCCTGTCCCCAAAGCAAGTTCATTCTTTGTGTGTCAATGTACTTCTAAGGATGTTAATCTTAAAAGTGCAGAAGTGTCTATGTACGATGAAAGCATTTACATACTCTTTTCTCTCTATAAAGATGACTCATTTTTATTTTATTTTCAGTGATGTTTAGGTTTAAGTCTTGATGAGCTGTTCGCCTCTGAAGGTCACTTGTGCCAATTCCCGTAGTATTAAACGGAACAGTTTTAGCTTTTCCCAAGTGGCCTGTTGCTGAACAGCCAAACATATTTTCACCTGTAAGTAAAGCTGGCCATGCTGACAATGCTACTATAGTTAGAAAAATGTAGCTTGCAGATACTCATTGAACAGAAAGTAGCTGATTCTGCTTTTGTCTGGTTGTCACAGATACATCTTTACGGAATTGATGGTAATTGGTGGTTGGACTTTATACTTTTTATACCTATTGTTTTTCCTTTAATGAAGGTTCCTTTGCCAGACTGGCCATTTAATAGAAAAATAGGGTTCCAAACACTACATTTTGCCTGATACGCTGAAGTGGCATTTTGCCATCAATTTTTTTTAAATGCAAACTTAGAATTTCCTAAGGAGATTGGTAAAATGAGACTGGCTAACATCACTGTCAGGAATTTTGAAGTCCCCCCCCCCCCGCTAATTGATCCAAAATTCTTCTGTGAAATATGCAACTAAACTGGCACGTTAACAGCTTAATTTGAATAGAGTAGGCAGTACGCTGCGTGAAGGCATTGTTTACAACAGTTCATCACTATGTATAATTTATTGAATGCCAACTGATAGTTGCACCTTAAACTAAAGTATCCTTTATGGTCACTGAGTCAAAATAAGATGAAGATTGAATGTTAATGAAAGTAACTTATTGCCTATTCTGTGTCCTGTTTGCAGAAAGTAAAACTCATTCCAAATGACCCATTTCTCTCTGCCCTCAGTACATGTACAGATGGGCTATAGCATTAAAATGTTGATGATAAAAAAAAAACCTGTGGTATTTGTAGATGAAAGAATTTATCACACTTTTTTTCTTCTGCAAGGGGAAGCATAGTCACTGTTTCAGGCTTAAACTTTTCCAGTTGCCTGTGGATGCAGCTGCGAGAGTCTATTGAAGGTAGTTTTCATTCAGTTTTCCTGAAAATTTTGAGACTTGTTCTGAGAAACTTTTTTTTTGCACTGAGAAATGAGCATTTGAAAATGCCGCTCAAAATAGTAATTGAACAAAACTTCTTGCAAGTATTAAATCTCCATAATTTATCTACATAAATTTTGTAATGATATTAATCATGCATATTATGTTTAACTGGACTACATAGATTTATTACATTTTTTGTTAAAAGTATACTCAGTGGACCAATACAATATTTGTGTATATATAAATATATATTATATTCAAGCTTTCCTGTGTAGGGTTTAAATTTCTGAGTCACTTGATGTTACATTTCATGTTACTGACTGATTACAGAACCTTTACTCGAAGGTGTCTAAATAAACCACTGCTGTGTCAACTTAAATGGCATTACTTTTGAAGTTTTAAAAGGCTTTCAGGAACTTGTTCAGGTAGAGTTAGTCTCTATTTATAGACCTTTGTTTAAAGTTCTAAAAATAGATTGTAATTATGAATAAAACCCTTTCAGAACATAAGATGGGTCATCTTTTAAATTTGTAACATACAACAACATGTCTTGTGAAATCTTGGAGATATGTCAAATATTTTTCTAACTTGAACTAAAATTGTGAAGATCTTAAACTCTGTCATCCTGGGCTGAACTACTAGCACCTGCTCAGCCCCATGCTTTTATTTCCTGTATTGCTACCCAGCCTGCAGCTAAATCTGAGATTTGTATTGACCAATGAGGTAGTGAACTGTTCCAGCTTTACCACCACCCCTTACAGGACTGCATTGTTTACCCAGTCAGACTCTGTGAGCAGCCAGAGACATCAGCTGAGTGTAGAAGAGGCCTCTGCCCATCAAGCTGGAGATAACCAGTAGGTTCCCCAGGGCCCAGGAAGTACCATTTCTGGCTGGCTTGCTCTTATTCCTGGTTTCAGAGACAGTATTCCTCTGATTACAGATTGCTGGTAGACAAATAGCAGGGGGAGGATTAGTGCCAACAGGCCATGCTTATGGGATTCCTTCCCAGAGCTATTTGATTGGTCACTGCTGGAAATGGGATGCTCAACTAAATGGATCATTCTGACTCAGTGGAGCTCTTACTATATGTTCTTAAGAAGGAAATGCCCTGATGATCATATTCACAATGAACAAAAAAGAAAGTACTGCTTCCCACAAAGAATGACTGCTTATGTCATGAGATAATGATGATGGTCACTAACTTATTTAGAAGATGATACAGATTCATGAACGAAAAGGCTTTTGACAGTAGTTAACCATGGAGGCTACATTGAGCAGTCATGTTCAGAAGCAGTGCATCTCTGACTAACAGAAGTTGAGAGAAAGGGCTATTGTCTTCATGCTCTGCTTGTATATGTCCAATAACTTTTTATCTGCTGTTGGACCAAAAGAAAGCTATTTTTTGTTTGATTTTAGCTGGCAATTCTTATGTGCCTCGTAAACTAGCTTACACAATACAGGGACACTGAACACTTAGCCCACTTCTTGAGGAAATTTCATTCCACCTCAAGCTGGTATAACCATCACTTGAATTGCTTACATGAATAAGTTATTACTGAGTGTGTTTAGGGCCATTGCATATAAACCCTGGATGCATTTACCCTTGGACAGTTTCTTGAAACCTGCCGCTAAACAATAATGGTGGGAACAGTTCAAATGTAAGTTCAAATTTGAACTGTAATGGTGTAATTTTATGATATTTAGAATGGCAAATACACATCACACGAAGTAAGAAGTACACATCACACGAAGTAAGAAGCAGTTCTTATCATGTACAGTAAAAGATGGCTGCATTTAGACTTATCTACTTTCTTAGATGCTTGTTTTGTTATAATGCTCATCTCTCAGAGCTGGCAGGACCCCTTCCTATCTATGTCTCCCCATGACAGGGGAAGTTTCTATTGACTGTGGTCAGGGTCAAGTGAACTGTGCAAGCAGTTCCACATGTCCCAATATGGGATTTGTTTGCTTAGTAATCTGCCATACCATGTACCAAGCTATTTTTGAAACTGAGAAAAGTTTCAAAAACATCAGGTTGCATGTGGTTGATCATAGCGCAAGGGCAGAATTTTAAGTTACAATGTGGTATTGTGCAACTTAAGATCACCAAAATCAGTTTTTTGGGTTCTGGCCATCTCTCGGTTTTGCCTGACAACTTAATTTTTTCTTTTCCTGTTCATCTCATGTTTCCTGTTTTGCCACCAAATAATGTACTCAGTCTATTCCTTTCTGTGCATCATGTCTGTTGACTTTTGGCCGTTTCCTCCTGAAAACTTTATGTTCTCTTATTAAAATGAGCAGATATCAGATGGGGGTGGGGTTACAGATATTATATGAATGCAGTATATACAGATGTCTCTTTCACTGCCATTAGTGGAAAGGTCCAGGAGACAACAGAGAAAATAAATACTTGCTAATGTCAGTCTGCAAAGATTAGCAGTGGGACCAGGTAGCATAAATTTCAAATAAATTTACCTCAATTTGGCACAGAGTTGGTGCTGCTAAGTGCCTAACAGCAGGATTAACTAGAAGTCTGTTGTTTAAATCTCAGCTCATTGGTGAATTTACTACTGAACCTCAGGCAAACCCATGGATTTAGAAGGTCTGTTTAGGATTGCGGGATTAATGCCTTCAACTGTTTAGTATACAGACACTACTAACTGACTTTAGGGGGCTGTCATAAGGATATAAACGTATGAAGTACTTAGGAAAAAGCACTATACAGATAGACAATGTGTGTCTTTCTCCCTCCACCTGTAACATTCTAATTTTATCTTGATTAATATATTGTTCTTTCCCCCTGGATTTCCATTTTGTTCAGATAATTAGGAATCCCGTCCCAAACCCCGCCCTCCTCAGGCTCTACTTCCCAAATCTCAGGGCATTTCCTAACCCGGAGCTAACACACACACCCTTCCAATCGCCGGTGGCAATCTCTCCCAAATCTTCCATGCGCTTGTATTTTATCTACTCGCTGGGACTGCCCTCTGGACTTCGCAAGAGTATCATGACACCACGGCAACAACGCCATCTATCTGGCGCCTTAAACCTCAGCACACTTTTGAAATCTTAACTTGGCCTCAATTTCCTTAGCCCCAATTCCCGAGTGTCTTCTTTTCCTCTGAGTTTTCGCCGCGCACTGACCAGAGACGCGGGAAACGATGGGCGGGGTTGAGGAGATCCTTCCCTAAACCAGCATAGCAAGCGTCCTTTAAGACCTAGAGATGGTAGTCGCCGGCCTTGTCTCCGAAAGAGTCAGAAGCAGCAGCTGCTGACCTGAAGGAGTGGCTCAGCAGCAAGAGGAGGAGCCCGGCGCAGCGGGCAGCTCACAGCGGTGCTGCTCGGCCTTTGCTCTCCTTGCATTATGGGAGGGCCGCTGGCTTTCGAGCGATGAAAAAGCAGCAGAGTCCCACGCTGTTTACCTCTTGAGGAGAACCTTTGGAATGAAGCCCAGAGTTGACGGGCTTTCTGCCACCTCCATGGATGCGCGGAGTAACCGGAGAGCGAGCGGCAAGAAAAAGGATCATAGGTACTCACAGGGAGCACGGGGAAGGGAGGCGGAACTCACAGCCTCGGTTACGCTTTTTCCCTGGCAGGTTCTTGTGCGTTTAAGAGCTACGCAAGGGTGGGGGGGAGCTTTTTCTGAAATGTAGAAGCCATAAGGAAGATGTTTATGGTTGTCAGCAGGCCTGGAGGGAAAAAATGGTCAGCCCCTTTAACATGTGCCGAAATGAGCATATGAAGCTTTCCAAGGTAGAGAAGTAAATAACATATCATTCATTCTCTATGAAAGCGTTTGGGGTGGGCACTTCCAGTCTGTTGGCAATGATCTGAAGAGCCTGTTGGATAGTTTGCCTGTCAGCCTCATGCATCTACTAGAGGTGTACATAGAAAAAGGGTAAGAATCTTGCAGAAAAACAAAAACATAAAAGCAGTAGGCCAAATAGGCTGGTGAATAAAGGGTAACAAAGGCCTGGTGCCCACAGCTCTTTCCTTGGTGTGCAAGGGTGGAAGGTTTGTGTGTACTCACAAGAGTTCTTGTCAAGAGGAAATGTTGAGCTTTACTGTTTGGTGTTGTAGGTAGTGAGTGGAAGAAGAGAACCAGGACTTTTGTAATGGAGGACTGTAGGACAAAGAGGCCTCCAAGAAAGTTAACTCCTGGGTCATAGTTTGGAGAGAGAGAAGTCAGTAAGAGCACAGGTGGGTCAGTTCCTGGGAGCAGGCAGGATTGGTAACTGAAGATGTCAAAAGGTGGTGGTAGGGTTGTCAAGATGTTTTTACAGAAATGCTGGAGTATGGTAAAGTCCTTGTGCATCCTGGATTCATATTCCTCAGGACTGCATTTGGCCATATAGATTTCCTGACTTTTGAAGGTTCTTCTCTGGAGAGATACTTCTTTAGGTATCATTTGTCAGTGAAATAATACCAGCAGCCTTTTGGCAGCTGCTTCTAATGAGACAGAAGAGAAGAAGTGATTTAATAGAATGTGAGAGATTGCTAAAAGACTTGGGAATTAAAAATGCCCCATAATTTTGAAAATGTCATGCTCATCTGTGTATTTGAAGTGAACAGTAGCAGTTAGAAGCTTCAACAATGGGGGGGGGACGGATTCTCCAATATAGTCACTAATAACTCTGGTGTAGACAGATTCAGGTGTTGGTCAGAAGCAGAAGAACAAAGGTCTTCTTTGTGGCACCTTTAAGTACAACAAAGTTTTATTCAAGGTATAAGCTTTCATGTGCATGCACATTTCTTGATATCAGTGATGGGTGATTGACCTATTGGCCAAACAGAGTTCGTGGGTAAGAGGCCATCAAAAAAACAGAACAGAGAATGAGTCCTTTGAAAGTAGTTTTATTGCAATTGATTTCAGGAGTGTCTGGTCCTTGGGTGGGGGGAGAGGCTCAGCCAAAAAAACAAGAACACGTAGTATATAAAGGCAAGAATGATACATAGTGAAAACATACGAAGATATTGTGCATGTCTAGGTTGTTCAAAAGAAATGTTACAGCTCTAGGTGACATCAGAGGTACATTGTTAGAAGGCAGGGTTTTGAGAACAACAACTCCTAAGAAAGAAATATCTGCCCCTTCCCTGGTAAGCCCTTGCTGAGCCCAGCAGTCAGGAAAATTCCAGCCTTGGGGTTTCAGCCTAGCACAGAGCATACATGTCCTGTCCACTACGCTCTAACGGAGGCCAGAGTCCATTTTATTTGCTTATTTTCCCACAATAGCAACTGTGTAAGCAAAGTAACCCACGTGATTGCCGCTTCGTTACATTACTCTTGCAATTATTTTTGCAGCTACTGTGCTATAATAGTAACTTGTTAATTGAGGCTAAGAGCAAATTGAATTTGTGTTCAGGAATACATTTGGGACAGATCTCAACTAAATACTGGAAGTTCAGGTTTTGTGTGGCCCTTTTCTGTTTCAATGAGCACATCTGAAAGTTTTTCCAGGTTCCTTCTCACCCCTGTTCAGCTAGTGCCT